CTTCGCTCGCAAGAAAACCCTCCTGTATATCTCTACAGAATGTTCAACAATTTTCCCTCGTTTTGGGGTTTGTATAAAAAAGTCCTTCACGTTCTTAGGACATTCCTGATGAAATAGAAACTAGAACGTAAAGCAGTCCAATCCTTAAAAAAATGGATTCTGAAATGCTTATGAATTTGATTACAACTTTGGAAAATCACTTTTTACACGTAGTGTATTCTTGCCTTACACAATTCATGATATAAACGTTAGTGGAATTGTGAAGCAAATAGACAGTTGTAGAATATGGTCAGCCACAAAACGCTACACATGACATTGTATAGAGGGAAATTTCCCCCACCAACTTTCCAACCCTGGCTACGCCATTGTTTCTTATCGTCTTTACCTGTTAAAAACCTAATTTTTAAAATTTGCGTTTCCATCATTTACCAGTGACCTGAAAGGTGTGGCACCAAAACTAGTGTCTAACACGCCCCCCCTCCCCCCCAATCATTGTCGCTTAAATCCGCCCCGCCTGTTAATATGAACTTGCAAAATGAATGAACAACATTACAAGCAAGATGCAAAGGAGGATCACAAACAGCCATGCTACAAAATTACAGTTGAAAATGTTATTCTTCAATATTCTCTTTAGTTTTTCAGTATCAAGAAAGTGAGAGATTATCTTTAGCATCATTTCAATGATGCTATCAATACTGTTGTCACAAGCATAGATAGTTGTATCATATGCATACTTACATTCTTGAGCATCATTTACAAACATGAAGAAATCATTAAAGTATATTTTAAACAGAAGAGCCCCAAGATCGAGCCCTGTTGTACACCAATCGTTGTTTTCTCCATGTGCTGAAGGACCCATTCATCTTTACCCTTTGCTTCCTCTCGTTGAGATAGCTATGGATCTACCGCAATGCACTCGTACTGAAACCATAAGCACTTATTTTAGCAATCAAAAGCTCATGATTCAAGCAATCCAAAGCGTTTGAGAGATCCATCAGCAGTGCTCCAGCGACACCCCCTTTATCTAAGGTCTTTTTGCAGGTTTCTATGAGTCGTAAAAGTGCATGTTGGGTTCCAGATCCCTTTCGAAATCCACACAGAAGTGGAGAGAGGAAGCTAAGGGAATGAGGTTTCACCTGACTGTCCATTACTCATTTGTAAAAATTGGAAACAGACGATAAAACCGTTATAGGTCTATAATCTTTCTTAATAAAAGCATCAAGATTTTTGAACAGGGACGAGACCTCACCAGCTTTTAGTTCCTTTGGAAAATAACACTCAGATAGATTAGAATTTAAGATCTTCTGGATGAGGACAGCAAGAATGTCTACATTCTGTTTGAGGATCTAAGTAGGGACGCCGTTTGAGGAGATGCCTTTTTTGAATTCAGTTTTTGAATCTGTAAAAGTACCTCATTGATAGTCACTAGTTTGAATTCAAACTTATTCAGTTTGCAGCGTTCTTTGATCTTTTTAATGCTGGGATGATTTTCATATATTTTGATAGCTTTCTCCACTGGATCATTTATCCCATTACTTGGTGAAAGCAATGTCTGGTCTTCGGAAATCCCAAGACTCTCTGTTATATCTGTGAGACAATGATTAAAGATTTCTGCAATCTTTAAGTCCTCAGTTATCATTTTCCCATCTTCAAACATTGTCACAGTTGAGTTTGTTTGTATCTCATTTGAGAAAACCGGTTTGACAGTCTTCCAAAATTTACGATCATCTGTAAGGTCTCCAAGGTCAAGCTATCTATAGTAATCAGATTTCGTCCTGCGCTGGAGTTTCACACAAAAATTTCTTTGTTTTTTAAGATTCTCGTCAGTTCTATTCTTGATGTATCTATTCCGTAATTTCTCGAGGCGCATCATCGCTTTTCGTAATGCCTTTGTCATAAAAGGGCCATCATTTGCACGCAAATATTTTTTCTTAAGAGGAGCATGTTTATTAAGTGTGTTTATAACTACAGCATCGAAAGCGCCATAATCATCGTTACCCTGCAATTCAGACGTAATCTGATCACAAAGATCCCTTCTAAAGCCCTCAGCACGGAAATTGGTGTAATTTCTATATGTAATGATCTTGGGCCCTTTTTTCCTATATCCACCTTTAAGTACTGTGACTATCATGACATGAAAGTCCGACAGCCCTGTATTCACTGTTACAGTATTCTGAAAACTTCTTATCCTGTTCGTCAGGATCAGATCAATGCATCTACGGCTGTCAGACCTAAAACGGGTCAGACTTTTGACCAGATTAGACAAATCATAGTTATCAACGAAATCACTGATAGCACCATCTTTGGGCTCACAAATAAAATCACCTATAAAAGAGAAACTTTCCCAAGTATCTTTCAGATTGAGCTTTAAATTCTGAAAATTAGCCATTTTTGCTTCTTGAGAGTTACTTCGATTATGCCACATTCAATGGCATTTGGTGTTTTGTAGACAGATATCTCTTTGAACGGAACACCCTCTCTGACATAAACCACCTCCATGTTGATTTCGATCAAATCCGACGGGTTTTTAAAAGCCACCTAGTAAAAACTGACTGGTTGTAAAGGTTTCATCAATTTTTGTCTCTGCAATAGCTAATATATCAACATTTTCAGCTACAAGGGGTTTTCGAAATTCAAATTTGTTTATGATTGAGTTAATATTTAGGTAGGCAATGATTAGGCCTTGTGGTTTTTCGCCTTGATAGCTGCCAAAGAACTGTCATCAGAGACTTCATTCACAGATGTACCGCTGTCAGTGGCTTCGTTAGGTTCTATATTAGTGCAATTGTTTCATAGTTAATATTATCATATATCTTTAGCTAATATTAGCTAATGTTAGTTATTACATAACTAATATTACATAGTTAACATTAGCTTGCAGATATTTTAATCAAATTCATTTTCTATACAGCTGTACGAAAATTTCATATCTTAATCATAAGACCCTAGCTAAGTCATAACAAGAAAGTTCCCGTTAATTTTTGGTAATCATCCCCTAAATTAGTTTGCTGTCTGTATTTCAGTCTAAATACGTGCTTACATACGATAATTTTTACAAAACGTTTAGGTTTATCATTTCGAAAACCATTTCAATCAAATGCTGCTAGAAGTTGCATTTCTTTCCTTTGCATTCCAAGAAACCAGTGATCAGTCCTGTTCCCTTTTAGCAACAACTTTGATTTCTTTTCTGATAACCACTTGCGACTCAAAGTTTATTCGTCCATTATGTGTAATTTCGCCAATTCTTGTCATTTTCGTGACATCTTTTTTATGTCAACTTTTCATTTTATGAGGTAATACCTTAACCCTTTCGTGCTTCACACTAAACAGTCAAGCGCAAGCAAAAACTAGATTATTCGTTTAAAGGAATCTTTAAGAAGATGCAACAGTCCCCTTTGAAGTATCATTCGCATTGCATTATCTTGATGCCATGGCTTGAGTAAAAGAAATAGTTCCCGCGGAGTTTGTTTTTTAAGTTAACTACTGCATCACAACTTCTTACTTTGTTGCTAGCTTCGACCCACAGGCAGAAGTTCAAGTAGCTTCTACAACTAATTCTGTGGCTATAAACTGAACTAGGTCTAGGTAAAATAAAGATTCCCGAAAATTCCATCATATTGAAAGTTCCAAGTCTCTATTTACCTTCCATAACCTACACAAGTCATACTTTAATTTTACACAAGTCTTTAATTTTAACCCAACCCCTTTTTATAGCCATATGCCATGACGTTATATTCAACCTCAGTTTTGATGTAATCCATGACGTTTATCTTTAGCAATGGGACATCGCAAGGCCTCATATTCCTAAAATGGGGCCCTTTTTCTGCAGTGATGGGGCCCTTCTACCGGATTTTAAAGGGGGCCCACCGGCCATGGGCCGATGGACCGGTGGACCGGTGGCCCAATCGGCCACTGTTCTTTTTTGCTTCTTTTTTGAAGAATATATGCAGCGAATGCTCTTTTTCATCTCGAAACATAACCATTGTCGCTTTTATCATACATATATTATATAATATATATTACATTATGTATTACTTCTAAAGCTAGGTAACAAGCAGCATTGGTTGTCAATTTAAATCCCTTTTCCCATCTTAGCATGCCTTTTGAATGTTAAAAGAATCTGGAGCTCATAGTGAATTGCAGTTGACGCATCTACCGAGGAACTTTAGGGGAAATGGAGACAAGGCACAATTTTACCTAAAGTGGGCCTGGATTTTTAGATTCAGTGTCAACAAGGAATCTTCAAATCCTCAAATCATTAGTTTGTTTACCTTCATTTATATCAAGGAATATCATATTTAACCAACGGAGCAACTACCTTTGCTCGATCCTTTATTGATTTTATGACAGGAAGGTCTCTAAAATACCTAGAGCGTTTCTTCACCGAACGGATTTTACCTAAAATTTTCTACTGATATACTATTGGGGCGTGACACCCCCACACCCCCTCGGTCGCGACGCTCCTGCCTAACTAGATGTAATTGTGGATTGAAGGAGGGATCAACTGTCTAAGGCCACTTGATCTTAAACTTAGTCAACAACTCTCTTTTCAATGAACATGTGTTTTCAAGGCAAATGAACTGAGCCTTAAAGAAATAATATGTTCCATTATTGCCTTCACAGATTCGTTCTATGTCCATTTCAGCATCGTTGGGTCTTAACAAACTTGTCGCTCTTTATTTTATGCCAAAATTAAGCATAAAAGTTGTTTTGTCATTTCGGGTTTCAAACCCTTGAATTTAAATTTTCCAGGGAAACTGCGATTGGATTGCACTATTGCAGCAATGATTGCAGTTATAAAGGCCATGCCCGTACCCAGCCCCGATATGATTATCTTCGGCTACTTTGAGAAAGAGGTCAAGTAGAAAATTTACACAAAAAGGCTCACGGCGTTTCCTAATCCCTTTACGGTTGAATATCTCCAGGTTAAGACCAAGGACATTTGCTTCCAGCCGTAGATAATTGCTATATTTCATAGCAAAATTATAGGCTAGTTTCTATTATAACTGCATTGTGATATCACTCGAGAGACTCAGCAAATCGCTTTATCAACAAAATGCCAATAAACTACAAATGTTTGTATGTAAATAAGTGAAACCAGACAACAAGTGTATTGACTAATTGTTTATTGAGATACAAAGGACATAAGAAAGGTCAAGGGATTCGTACGTAATGTTCTATTCTTCTACAAATCAAAGTATTTCGAAAATAAGCAATTGCAATTCTTTTGGTTATTTTACAGCGTTAATGTGTAGCGTTAATGGTCCGTGAACTACATTATGCTGAATTTCTTTCCTAACATATGTCCTTGAGATAGGGATAACTGGAGAAAATTTGAAAATGCAGATCATACCGTTCCCTTGTATTCTTCAATTGAAACTAGCTGCGTTAAAAACATAAAGGATAGCTGTCTAGCCGTTGGCAGTCTATTCACCTAAACTCCTGGTGATATTGTTCTTTACAAGGGATCATTCAAGCCTTAATCTTAAGTCGTTAAGAACGTTTGAGACAAAGTTGAGATCTGTCGCCGAAAGAAGTTTCGTTTACACAACTCTCAACAACATGGAGGACAAGGTGTATCAGGTAAAAGCTGTTCGCTGCACCAGGCCCTCAAGTACACACGAGACGGTGAAAACCTCTACAAGAATTAAGTCATTCACAGGTAAGAGTTCTTGGGTATTTTGATCGAGATTCCTCTCAATCAAGAGGCATTCTAAATGTTTGTTTATACTACGATTTGGAGAAATCGGTTCTAAGCTTACACGTGACGAAGATTTTGTTTAACGTAGAAAAGCAATCGCGAGATTTTAGATAAATCAAATTGACAAGCATCTACTAATTTTACCGTTAGTCTTTTATTGATGCAACGCACTTTGTCTGGAAACTTGATCTTGAAGTGAAGCGAAATCAGTTACACTCCACAAGCAATTTTCTCTAATGCTTTGTTAGTTGATTAGCAAAATTAGCAATCAAATTAACGGCAATTGGTGAATTGTGTTCATGGGGAAACTTGGCTGTAATTTATCTATTTACTGTTATATTTTTAGAACAATCTGTCCCATATTATTTTTTTCCAGTCCCTCTTCGTTCAAATTCCGTCAAGTTGTATATTTATTTCAATCACCGTAAAAGGAAAGACCAATTTTACCATCAATCCACTGGTTGCTGGCTCCGTGGATTCTGAATATCTACGAAACAAGCGATTTATAAAGGCCTATTTATAAACAAAACCATGTATTTTTATTGTACTAACTATTATGGTTATCATTTCCTCTTCTTCTATGTTTATTTAATCGTCAACTCTATTGTGGCAGTTTCGGATCCCTTTCAGACAAAAATTTCCATTTTGACTTGAAAGAAAATGCACATAAGAATCGAAACAAAAACCCACAAATTGACATTCACAATAATGCAAGAATCTATTCGAAATTAGCAGAAATTACACAAAAATATGCTACACTTCTGTGCAAAATTTCTCTCAAAAGATTTAGGCTACTATGAATAACTTTTTATTTTGGAAAATCATTATTAGGTACTGTATCTGTTAACAAATTTAAAAGTGGAGTTTGCAAAACAGAAGTTGTGAAGGAATATATTATACGATTTTGATTGATATCGTCCAGACTTCATCGATTTGAGATTTACGATTCAAATGTTCCCGAGGAAGAGTGTTTTTCGTTGCTTTTGTGGATGCTTTTAACAGAAAGGTTCCTACGACAAACGGATGTTTTCGTTCCTAATTGCGAATAAAAAGTTCCAACAACGAAGATCGAATCAGGAAAGAATCACAGTCTTTGTCAAAATCTGAAGGGCAAGCCCAAAGAACCTTTTCTATGCAGGCAAAGTCTTTGATATAATTCAGGAACAAGGTATAATGGCGACAAGAATCCAATGAGAGAAAAACAATAGAAGTATAGTGATATACTTTTTAGCAGGCGAATTAATTTTCTTTTGATGAATATGTCCGCTTTATCCCGAGGGGCAATTCACTCTTTCAAATTGTGTATTGTACGAGATTTTCTCTAAAACAAGAGGATTTTTTGAGATTTCCAGATAAAACAATAGGATTTCCACCAAAGGTGTACGAGATTTTTTGGAGTGATTTGCCCCTCGCTTTATCTAGTGCCACAAGCACAAAATGTTCTTGTCCGTCTCTCTTCTTTCCCACCCCTCCATAACAAAATGACAGTGTCCTGCATCCTGGTTGTTTTTCAAGTTAAAAAAGCCTAATAACAACATTAGTTATTACATGAATACTGAGTGAAGGATAATGGATGAGCGTTGACGCTGATAATGGCCGATTATACAAATCGAAGAAAATACCATTCGAATTATGCAGTGTGATGAAGACAACGTAGAGTCATCAGCATATGGATTGTGATTTTCTGTAGGTCCTGTGCCAAAAAGCGCAACTTCAAGTATTCAAAAGTATTCATTCTTCCTCTGGTCAACAACGTCATGACCCTATCAAAATACTGAAAAGGGTGTAGCGTGAATCACTGCTCTCGAGACTGTATGCTGAATCACCGAACGTGCCACGAATCTAGATATAGCGACAAAGTATTTTGTCAGTGGCCTAAACCGTGTTTACGTTACAAAATGGCGTTAGCTAGAATTTTGACACTGGGGGGGGGGGGGAGGAGGGGGCTGGGTGGAATTTTTTTCAAAAACATATGGAATGACTATCTTAACAATAGCGTACAGAGGTAATGCACAAAATCAGTAAGATCTGCAAATGATTTGGTTTGGGGGCCCTCTAGATTACCGCCTTTCGCTGTAGACAAGACAAGACAAGAGGAATAGACAAGACATTAGAGTCAACTCGTAAATAATCGAAATCCTGAACCAAATCTTTCAAAGGTTTTTGATAGATCTCTGAGTCCTATATTATACTACAGCTAGGTATAGTGAGGTAATGTAAGTACATGAATGAAAAAAGATGATACTAAAAGCCCATCTACATGGACATATTTTCTGATTCTATAAATGTTTCCTTTTCAATTAAAATTATTGTATTACTTAGCATACTTTATAGGTTTCTGCGAAAGATCAATTAATTGCTTCATTTTCAACAGGTCAATGTGTGTTTTGGGCGTTTTTAGTCCCAGGCAAGGACTGAGATACCGCCCCCTCCCCCCCCCCCCAAGCAAAAAGTATAAAGAATAAAGGCCACGATAGCAGGCTGCTCAACGGATTCCGGAGAAAATCTTGCGGCGAAAAAAAGATAAAATAGTAGTGTAAAATAATAAGGAACACCGCAACGCGATGAGAATAAACAACAACAAACACACAAATCAGTGATGGCTAATATTTCCCCCCGGCATAGGGGGATTCATCAGAGCAAAAGTAAACGGTCTTTGGTCCCAGGCATCTTTGAAGTTCAATTACTACTATAAAATTATATATATCATCAAAGTTCCATTAAAAGTCTGCATTTTAAAATGAGCTTATAGTCTATCGCATTCATTCACAACACATTTTGTACTCTAAATATTTATTTCGGCTTAAGAAAACAATGATATATAAACTTTAAATGTTAGATTATGCTTTGTATCAAAGTTTGCATTTGATTGTGTTGTGGTAAATTTAGAGCAACCTAATCTTATTTTCAAGTGTGACTGGTAAAGAATCCAACTTTAATCGTTGCAGAGCATTATCAATACCAACTTTTTCTGATTTTGAATTATATTTCGCGAAATTCTACCTTGGAAATCAAGACCCCAGTGAAAGCGTGGGCTCGATTCTTTCCTTAACTGAGACTCTGGTATCCAGAGTAGCGAAATTAACGACAGCTGCCGCAAAAAAAGATTTCACGTACTTCTGTGTTGTATGGCATTCACCTGGTCCTTTACAACAATTTCACCGCTTAGGCTCATGTGAATTGCATGCATTTTACACTCTTTTCTTATAAGAATAATTTTATAACAATTAAGATCAAGCTGAGACTGAGCTTCTGCAAAATGCAATTTTGAACAACGTTTTTTCTCAAAAATCGAGGATTTTTAGCGATGTGTGGGTGCTTTTTCGGTGAATATTCAAATTTGTCAGCAAATTAAGGCTGTCTCACTCACTTTGTTGGCAAATGAGGCCTGAACACCACCCTAGAGTGAAAAAGCTAGTACTCGCACTGCTTACACCATATTAGATTAAGAACAAATTAAGAACAATCAATCCTCAGATTTTCGATGAAATTAGGAACAGCCAGCCTGAACTTAAATTTGCTGGTTCTTATAAAAAAAGAGTGTAATCAAAGTGGTATGTCTTTAATAAAGGTGATATAGCTCTGTGAAGCATGTAAAACCCTATCTGGACCAGGCATTTTTGAGCGTCGTCAGACTAAGGATGGCTAATTTACCCCTTCCCTTTCTCCTATAGCGATAGGAGGTTAAATTTGGTGCGGGGGCAGCAGGAGGCAGCAGGGGGCAGCAGGGGGCAGCAGGGAGCAGCAGGAGCAGCACGGGGGCAACCCGGGGGCAGCACGGGGGCAGCAAAGTGTCCTTTTCATGAAATTGACTTCCAAGCAATATCAATTTTTATCAATATTTTGAATGCTAATGAAATCTAGGTTTCAAGCATCACTTGATTAAGAGAAAAGTCAATATTTTCAATGTTGATGAGAGCTGATTTGGCAAGCAATTTGACTTTGCTGAAGAGGTTCCTACCAGCATAGGTTCCAAATCTTTGATTGGCTGAGCGACCAAAATTCTGCATACCCCATTAGCCAATCAGAATTCAAAAATATAACAACAAACGTGCCTCGCAGGTAGATTTAGGCCTATTTTGGACGTTTTTACCACTACCCAGCTACCCACAAAAAAATAAACGTGTAAAATGTGCTGAAAGATAACCTTAATTTTCTTTTGAAAATTGAATCTTTGATGAATTTACGAAAAATCTGTCGTTGTACTCAGCAACAATTTTCCGCGATCGTTAGTAGTTACGAAGGCTTGAAACTGTCCCTTTCAAATCCTTACAATAATGAGAGGGCAGGGAGAACAAAAAAATTACAGTTTTTAAACCTAAAAAGTTGTTTTATCCACGTAATTAACAAATATGAACTTACCTTTACAAGCCAATGTTAAAATCGTTTCTTGTCGGCATTGATGTTTGTGTTAACGATTAAATGAATCGCTAAATTCCACTGAGAGAAAATGCAGTCCACCTTTCTCTTAAAATAGCTACAATTGTACAATTTCTTTTGCACTCAGGTACTTTGTATGTTCATTTTATAGACTTGAAGATCGATGAGAAGCTCACTTCCACTGATGCAAACTGCTACGGCCGAGTAAAAGCTGACGCAATTCGTCAAGGATGAAAAGGGCGGGAAAATGAAATATGCATCATTTCCCGCCCTTTTCATCCTTGACGAATTGCGTCAGCTTTTACTCGGCCTTGATGTTTGTTGTTTGAGTGAAAGAAATTTCGTGAATCATGTTTGACGAAAGTCTTGATTCAAATGTATTTTTATGGGTGTTGCCACCATTTCTGAGAGTCTTTAGGGCGTAACAGCACAAAATTACCAGACCAACCTTCTCTCCTCTTTACGAAGACTCCCTTGTTGGCTGAACAAAGATTCCCTATCTGTCTCAGCAGCAAACTTTAATACACCCAAGGTGCCCTTTCTGCAGTTCTTACCCCCGCCGTATCGTAAAGCTTCCGGTG